CTGGTTATTATCAGGATAAGCCAAAGTATGGGTATCGGAAGAGCAAAACGTATAAAGGGAAGCCGCATAGCACTCACGTTCGCATTGAAAAACACAAGCACTTGAAGACTAGGAAATGCAAGTGTTTTGTCTGTGGAGAAGAAGGCCACTTTGCACGTGAATGCCCAAATGACAAAAAGAGTACCCGAAGAGTAATGCTCTTTGAAGGGTTAAAGCTTCCTGAAGATTACGAGGTCGTTTCGGTTGATGAAGGAGATCCGGAGAGTGATGACATTTTCAGTTTATCTGAGAATGAAGACCCTCAAGACCTTGATCATGAATTAGAACAAGTATTCATGATTCGGGAATATGACAACACTCACTGGATGGGAAAATCTGGAGGATACCAACCGATGGTAAAGGTCACTGCTCATCAGTACCACTGCAAACATGAGTGGGAAATTAATAAGGATATCGGTGATCATGACAACCATAAGTGCACCTTCTGCAAGATAAAGGCGTTGAAAAGAGCACGAGCCTATTGCCCAAAATGCCAGCTAATTTCTTGCAATGTTTGCTCAAATAATTACATTGGCTTCTGGGTACCCGTTGCAGAAGAACGACCAAAAGAACCTCCAACTCCAAATATGAAGAAGAAGTTGCTACAACAACAGGCAGACTACATCATCTGGGCTGATAAGGAAATAGCCAGATTAAAGAAGCAACTTGAGGAATCGGAAAAGAGGTATCAGGACCTCTTGGAGGAACATCTAGCTCGTGATGTTGAAAAGCTGGATGTAAAAGCTGATGAAGTAAGATTGAAAATAATATTTATTTATATAATATGTATCTAATTAAATATATAAATTCTTTTTTGGATAATAGGTAGTTGATATAATTTAAGTGGATATTATAATATTAAGAGATGGATATTGAATATTGTGTTTTGAACATATATACTTATGAAAATATAGGTGTAAGTATTAATATTAAATAGTGTGATATTTACAATTTTGAATATTTAGTCTTTAGATATTTGTATGTTTGCTACTTGTTATTAGGTGATGAATTTTCTCTATGAAAATTCAAATAATGTATCTAATATAATTATAAAGATGATTAGTTGATCATCATTATTTTAATTTTTTGCTGCTTATAATTATAAAATTAATTTACATTATATATATATATATATATATGTATATTGGACGATGGAAGAATATTAATGAGATCAAGAAGATATAGTACATTCAATTTCGATGAAATGAAGAGATGAATAAAATTAATATGATATAAACATTTTTTTTATTTTTGACACATTTGAGATCAAGCAAAAAAAAAAGATAAACATGTATGTATATAATATATAATTAATTAAAGTTCAAAATCTTTTTAATTTCCATAAATATATTACGATTGTGATTGAAATAAAATACAAAATAAGTAAAAACATTTCATACAATAAAAGAGCTAATAATATATAAATTAATTTAAAATAAAAAAATTTAACCATTATAAAGATAAAAAAAATTCATTAAATTTTAGATTCAAACTTTAATCAAATCAAATTAAATTAAAATAAAAATTAAATCAAATTAATTTTAATTGAAACCATCAAGTTTTATTAATGTTAAAACTGATTGGTTCGATTCGATGTGATTTTTATCAAAATAAAATCAAACCCTACATATGAACACCTCATACTTGTAATCGCAAGGGGTGAAGAAATAGCATTCAGAGTCGTCGAACTCGGTCGCCGAAATCGCGGAAGCAGCCAGAGCTGGAGAAGAAAGCAAAATCGAACGCCACAGAGTAAGATTATGAAGTATTAAAAAAAAAATAAAACGAAAAGTTAAAGTAGGATACCTAATAAATCGAATCTCAGGGATGGTGGTGTTAATGGATGGATCATCAGACTTCAATCTGTGGTGAAGGTAGTGAGCGATGAGCTCTTGTTCGGTCGGACGGAATCTGTATCCCACCGGCATAAGTTTCCGCTCGGGAGCTGGATCCGCCATGGTTGCGTTGGAAAGGGCAAGGGGAGAATTTGAGGGAGACGATGATGCTTGAGGTGATTGAACAAGAGAGAGGGGCCGCACTTGTGAAAGAGCAGAGACAGGGCAAGGACTGACTCGATCCCTTGAAGCTTTACATTCTGGCACAACCACCTCTCCTTTTATAAGGAGCCATAAATAATTATTGAAAATTAAGATAAATTAAAAGATGATGTGGGAGGTCTTGTGGTGTTCGAACACGTATGGAGTTGCGACGCGCCATCTAAAGCGCGTAAGGGGGGGGGGGAGGGAATTTTTTTCTTTCAAGCTTTGTCCTTGTGTCCCTTTGTATTAGAAAAAACAAAATAAAAACAAAAACAAAACGGAAAAGGTGAAGGGGAAGGAGGATGGAAGAAGGAGGAGGGATCTTTCAGGAATTTTGCTCAGGATAGTGCAAAATTAAAGCTAAGCCTATAATTTATATCATGTGGGTCGGAAACTTGCTCCCAAAGTTTTATTGTTAAGACTTTAGCGGAAAAAGATGTCACTAAAAATTCTGGAATTCCTTTGTTTCATTTATAAGTTACTTTCTTTATTTAAAAATATAATATATTTTTTAAAAGATTAAATGTTAAAAAATATGAGATAATTTTAATCTTTTGAGATGTAATCATTATTTTTTTTCTAAAAGTGAAAATGAATAACTTTATATTTATTATAGGGTATTTAATATAGATAAATATAGAAAAATAGTGTTAGTTTAAAAGTAGGTAATCACTTTATTAAGGGTGAGATGCGATTAAAAATATCTTATATTTTTTAATAATAAAAGTATATTTTAAAAAATTTATTTAATTTTATTTTTAAGTTATGGTGTGACTTTTTAAATAATATTTAAAAAAATTAAAAATTACCTTTACGAGAAAAAAAAATTAACATGACATTATTTTTTAGATTTGTTATGTACAGACATATTTAAAATTTTATAATTTACACACACTTTTATTTCTCATATTTTGTTATATTGATATTGATAAAGTTGTTAGAAATAAATTATAAAAAAGACTAGTGAATTTTCTAATCAGAGAAATAAATAATAAATAAAAATATAACTTACTTGCCAAGTTTAAAAATTTGTAATGTTTTTCAAATCCTTGATATCAGACCAAAGTAATTGGTGGATGATAGATGTCACATATGAAAACAATCTATGTGGCAGGTGAAAAGGTTAATTTTGTTGAGAAAATTAATTTAATTTTATTTATAAAACATTTTATTATTTTTAATCTTAATCTTAATCTTTATGTTTTTATTAAATATTAATAAAATTATTAAAAAATAAAAATACATTGATATTTCCTTTATTATATCTTAATTACAGATACATCTTTTTTTATTTTAAACACTTGTACAAACTTATCATAAAATAATAAAATATTTCATAAATAAAATTAATTTTATTTTATTTATGAAACATTTTATTATTTTTAATCTTTATCTTTATCTTTATGTTTTTATTAAATATTAATAAAATTGTTAAAAATAAGAGTAAAATATATTGACATTCCCTCTATTATATCTTAATTATAGGTATATCTTTTTTTCATTTTAAAAACCTATACAAACTTTTCATAAAATCAATAATTACAAAACACAAACTTATCTTCCACAGAGGTCCCTGTAATTTTAGCAAATTAAAAAAGAGGTTATAATATCTTACTCTGAAAATAATTATTTTTGTTTTTAGTAAAGGGCAGATATAAAAACTTATTAAATTTTAAGATAAATTTAATAAAATTTTTAAAAAATTAGCTTTGATAAATGTGATAGAAGTAACACATGAATAAGATCAGAAAGAATATTTTATTAATAAATATGACTCCTTTTTCTATCTTAAAAGAGATGATAGATTGTCCGAATAAAATTGCTGATCAAACATATTTTTTATTAATTATATAAATAAGTTAAAAGTTTAAATCTACATAGGAGTTATAAATGACATGTCTTCACCTTCATTTTAGAGGATAAATTAATAAAAAATATTTTTTTTATAAAATATAGCTTGCATGTAAATAAAATTTTAATTGTTCAGCCATAGAATTATAAAAATATTACTTATCGTGTAGAGAATATTTGTTGCAAACCTCCATTATGCTTTTGTCATTCCGAATATTACTTATGGTGTTTTGGTTATGGAGATACTGTAATTCCAAATATTATGAAATGAATGAAACGGCGAAACTTGATGCCCAAGTTTCAAAGTTTCCCTGGCTTTTAGCTTTCGAAGTATTGGCCCCACTATCTGTTTCTTATTCTCTTCTTTTTTCATGGTTTGTTATGTTCCCCGCTAGGATTTGTTCTCTCATTTCTATGTATGATTAATTATCAATTTCGAGTACAAGTATCTCTTTACCGTTACTTATTCCCATTTTCCATATACTGTCGACCTTGATGCTTATTTCTGATTCAAAAATAATTTACAGGCCTTATTTAATATACCATATAGTTTAAAATGATTTTTTAATAATATGTTTATTTGAGAGGATCAATTTACTTAAGCACTCCCGTGTTTTTATAGGGAAAAAATTAAATGAAAAAACTTGCTGCTGGCCCTGCAATTTCTATACTTTTGCCGCTTCTCAGATTATTTTTTGTCAAATCTTTCAATAAAAATAAGATAAAAGATTCTTTTAAATAACTCAACGCCATAATATCTATTTTTTCAGCACCAGGAGAAATACTTCATTTTGAAAACACAAAGTGAGATTTTCATATCTAACTTAATTATTAATATTATTTAACATTATCACATATTTATTTTTATTTGAGTGTGTGTGTGTGTGTGTGTTATTTGACATTTTCATATCTAACAATATTCCGTATACACCATAATTTTTTTTCTTCTTAGTAGCTTATACTAATGAACATGTTAATCAACCAAATATAAACCTAGATATACGAAATTGTATTATGTAAACTTAATATAATCAGAAGTAAGTTGCGACTTACAACAGACCAACCCCACTATGTAAAACAAAACCCTTGTTCAACGGGCTAAATCATTAGATAACACTTCAAGGAAATACACTTCAATTCTTTATCCTTTAGTGTAACATGAATAGTTGTCCTTTCTTCACATGTCAATGCATGTCTGATGCTGTTATCGTTTCCAATTACTCTTGCTCATCCATTCTTGGAGATGACAGCAAGAATGAATTGCAATCAAATTCTCCTTCCGACTCCCAGGGCATCTCAGCCGTCGAAGGTGATTGAATCATTGAATCCATGTTTGAGAAATTTTGTACCTAAATCATATATATATATATATATATCAGTCGAATATTAGTTCTCATTCTATTCCACATCTTCCTACAGCATGATATATGAACATTATACTTAACAATACCTGATCAAGAATTTGTCTGCGCACTTCTGGAATCATATGTGCAGTTGCTTGATTTTCATACTCAACAACCATATGGTTACTTGGCTCCCTTCTATCATAAATTTGTTCACCCATCTTTCCTTTTGTTTCATTCTTGGGTTTCTTCATTAACCTACATAGAACATGCGTTCTCTGCAACATGGAAGAATAATCAAGAATTATTCATTTGTCAGAATTAGAGCGTAGACCTCTGATAGGAATGATGAAGCAATATAAACATGAAGTCTTCCCCGCATGAAAAACTAGTGATAGACATTAGTCACCAAAACGATGTGATGCGTCAAAATCGAAAAAGTGACTCAGCCAATACATAACTTCATGGACTGTAAAGCCAGAACTAGCTAGAAAGAACTCCTAATCATAGTTGTAATAAGACAGTTTTAAACCAGAAAATTCACGTTTTAATAGCTTACTTTGGCTTTATAAGAACAAATCTATAAACACATAAATGATAAAGTTTCCACTTGCTAGCAAGGAAACAAAGAATAGAAGCATACCTGGTCTGAAGGAAAGAGAGCATCATGATATTCATGAATAACCCAATTAGTATTAATGCCTGTAACACGACCTTCGTGGAAAACCAGAGTCTTCTTGGTCCCAATGACATTGTGAGTGTCTCGTTCTGTAATTTTCCTTTCCTTACTGGTGGCTTTCCAGTAGCCCCGCGACGTTGCCCTATTAGATCGAGTACTACTAGGGTACTTGTAATCGAGACGACTGAAGAAAAACCATTGTGGGTCGTCCGACTTGATCAGCGAAAACTCTGAACCAGCAGAAGTTGGAGGAGCAGCCGAAATTTAAACAGGCAAAATCAAACGGCACGACATAAGATGATTGGAGCATGAAAAATTTAAAAGAGAAACTGCAGATATCGGCGTGTAGTAGAAGAAGAAGAGATCTGGGGCTTGGATTCTGATACCTGGTAATTCCCAGGGTTCGTGCTTGCAAATATCAATCTCGGGGATGGTGTCGTGAATAGAAGGATCATCGTTCATGAATTTGTGGTGGAGAAAATGACGGATGAGCTCTTCATCGGTGGGAAGGAATCTGAACCCCTTAGGCATATCTTGCAGCAGAGGAGCTGGGTCCGCCATGGTTGGCTCTCAACTATGATTAATCAGATAAGCTTGATGGAGAAGAAGCTTTCAGAGAGAGAGGAAGAGAGAGCACTGCTTGCAGCGTTGTCGTGTGTTTCGATGCAACAATATATGGAAGGTAACACTCTTTACTTGATGAGCATAACTCACAGCCCTCTTTAAAGAAGGCAATAAATAAGTTGTAGAATTAAATTAAAATGGTGAGCAATTTTGAAAAAGGTACCACCCAATTTCACGTAGCATAGTTTTGTCAAAGATATAAAGTTTAAAATTAAACAAATAGTAGATGAAATAATAAATTAATGAACAATTTGTGGCGTAATGAATAATGTTGGAAGCTGCCAGGTTGGTGTAACGGTGTAACTTAACACTTCTTCTTCTTCTTCTTTTGACTAAAATAATTACATTCAAGCCTTAATAATGATTATAATTAGTTGGGTTCACAAAATAAGAACTTTTATCATCCACCACTTCTTGTTGAAAAGGTGTGGAGTAATCAAAAGTATAAAAATTATTGAGTATCAAGTATCAACACTTCTTTTCTACCTGAAATATAAGATTTAGTTGAGAAATTTTACTTTAGTAGAATTCTTAGACATCAAGCTTTTTTTATCTCTCTTATTTAATATTTTTTTCACACCACTTTCATTAATTTTCAATTTTTTTTCTTTATTTTTGACATTTAATACCTTTGTTAAGAAAGTATCATTTTCTTTGTCTAAATTTATAACACATATTTAAATAAAGTTATGCATATCAATAAAATTCATTAAATATACTTAATAATTTTATATTTTTAAAATAAAATTTTAAAATTTTAAAAATATCTTCATTTAATATTCTATTTATGAAAGAATGTTAAAAAGAGATAATAATGAAAAGGGTAATATTAGAAAAGCATTGTCAATAAAATTTTATTTTTATTTAGGTGCCTTATTTTGGCACAATGAATCTTTTCCAAAAATTCTCAAAGTGAGATGAAATAGTACAATAAAAATGACTGCACATATTTATATAATATTAATAAATATTTTCTTTGTTCAAAATTATAAGACACTTTAACTGATTTATGCTTCATTACTTTCAATAACTTAGTTAGTAACATTTAAAATTATTCATTTTTTATATTTTTCATTATTTATTATTTGCACTTATTTAATGGAATATTTTAATTCAAAAATCTTATGGATTACACTATTTAATTATGATTTTTTTAAAAAAATATTAATTGCATGTGGAAAGACCAAAGTAATTTATATTTTTTAACATGATATTTTAGAGAAAAGTGTTTTACAATATTAAACAAGGAAATTTTGTTATCGAAAAAAAATATTAAACAAGGAATAATAAAGTTAACTAATTTACTTAATTATAGTTAATTAAATATTAAATATTATACAAGAAAGAGTAATACCAGTGGTGTGGGGATATATAACGTCATGCATGGATGAAGTGGGAGGACTTGTAATGACGCGACACGTAATGAAGAGAGGGGTCCCACCACTCACAGCTTGTCCGTACAAAAGGCTCCGCGTTTTCTGATTTGGAGACTGGACGCATCCTCCTTGGTTCCGCCTCGCCACTTTTTCTCTTTTCTTTTTTTCTAATTCCATTCCATGACCACTCTCGATCACCTTTCTTTCTTTCTTTCTTTCTTTCTCTGCACTGTAATTTGAAATTAAAGCTAAGACCAGTCTTATTCTTTTATGAACCTTAAGCATCCGTGATCACTGATCTGTACAAAACTTACATATTATAACCAATGAAGCCTTCCATGTCTTGTTCGTACATCTGTGCTTTTTCCTCCAAAGCTTTGCAAGCAGCACCATTTTTAGATAAAATGTAGCATCGATGCGTTGAACCAACTTTTCCGAGACGCGTCACGTCAATTGACCTTGCAAGGCTTTGTTTGACTACAAAAATCCATCATTTCGACGCACACTTGCACATCCATCATTCTTAAACTAGGAAAGAAGGCATCAACGGAATCTTCCACGCGCTACGCTAATTAACTTTCTCCCTACAATGACTCTGTATTCAGATGCTGGTAATGTTTCAGAACAGGGTCGAAGATTCTAGAATGAAATCTCACCCAAAAAATAAAAATAAACGAAGAAGACTTGCAGCCCAAGTTTAAAAATTTAGATAATATTGTGAATTTGTAGAAACATTTTAAGAGGTATTATTGCTAGCCAAGTCCCTTTCTATACCTAAACCCCACCGTCATAGCCCACCATGCTTTCTTTCATTAAGAAAACGAATCTTCTGAGTCAGTTTTTCAGGGCCTGGTTGGTTTCTATTTTTATTTTTTATTTTCAAAAATTGTTTTATAATACAATTTTTAAAATTATTTTTTAAAATAAAATGAAATGAAAATTCACTTGGTTATATCAATTAAAAAGTAGTTTTGTAATTAAAAAATGAATTGATAATAATGATTATAAGCAGTTAGTGGTGGTGATTAATAATATAAATTGATCAAGGTAACTATAATTTCTAATGATCAAATATAGTATATTTTAAAATAAGGAAAATAAAATGAAAACAATTTGAAGTTGTTTTTGTTTTTTATTTTAAAAATAAAAAATAATTTATTTAAAAATATAAGGTATTTTTAACTGAATCTCACCCCTCAATAAAGTAGTTATTTACTTTTAAACTAACTATATCTTTTCATATTAAACACCTTATAATAAATATAAAGTCATTATCAATAGGAACACTTTTAAAAAAAATAATGATTACATCTCAAAAAATTAAAAATATCTTATATTTTTAAATATTTAACTCTTTTAAAAAATAGAGTGAATATGTTAAAAAGAAAATAATAATAAATCAAAAAAACACTTGCCCATCAAGTCAGCCTTATGTTTGGGACGGTGACGATTGACAAGTAACAAAGATAAGAGGTGATAGATACCACATATAAATAAAATAAATGATAATGAAAGAAAATTAATTTTAATTTTATTTATGAAACATTTCAAAAAAAATTTATATTTATTTTTGTCTTCCTATTGTTATTAAATGTTAAAAAAATATTAAAAATAATCATTTTTATCTTTATTAAAAGATAAATGTGAAAACTTATTAATTTTTAAGATTTTTTTTTAATTTCAATAAAGCATGTTAAAAATGTCTGATGAATCTAATAGGGGGAGTTTTTAAATCTACAGAAGAAGATATAAATGACACATCATCACCTTCATTTTAGAGGATAAATTAATAAAAAAATCCGTTTTTTTTCCTAAAATATAGCTTGCATGTAAATAAAATTTTAATTGCTAAGCCATAAAAATATTAGTTATGGTATTTGTACAGAGAATAATTGTTGCGAACCTCCATCTATGCTTTCGTCATATACCAAATCACAGCATCAATATAAAGTTAACCTTGTATTCCATCCAATTCTCGTGAAAATCGCTATGTCTTTTTAAATTTTCTTTTTCATTTATCATAAGGCTTATTTCAAAAATCCATTTAGATTAATTTTTCCAAATAATCAGATATCTAATTTTTTTTCCTATTCTGATTATTTTTTAATTCTTAAACAACCTTGTATTATTTAAAGTGAAATGAATAAAACGGCTAAACTTGCTGCCCAAGTTTTAGAGGTTTAGCCTTTTAGCTTTCAAGGTATTGACCCCACTATTTGCTCCTTGTTGTCACGGGCTGAGAGTCTGGCGCAGCACACGACGCCCGTGCGGCGTCCTGGAGGGCCCCATAATCCTCAGGACAAGCATTACCACATACGAATCACACTGGTTTCGCCCTGTCATGGGCTCATCAGGGAGGCGGCACTAGCCCCTGACCAGTTGTGCACTCAGTTCGAAGACTGAGGCAGAACACCCCCAATGCCAATGTCGCCCCCTTTACCCATATTGTGCGAGGCTAACCAGCGGATCGTTCATTACATTAGTCTTTACACGATCACGGAGATATCATCCGTGACATTGTACTCTTCTTTTGTTCATGGTTTGTTATGTTCCCCGCAAGGATTTGTTCACTCATTTCATTTCGTTTCATTGTACTTGTATGTCAATTTTGAGTACTAGCGTCTTTTTTACGGTTACTCATTCCCCATTTTTCATATATCGTCGATGTTGATGTTTATTTCTCATTCAAAAATAATCTATTATCTATAACCTGTATCAACGAGGGATGGCCATCGTTACAGTAGATGAATTGTGCTCCTGTGAACGAAATCAATCAATCAAGTCTTTGAACAATATTAGAATATAATTAGAATATGAGAATATTGGAGATTGAAATATCATAATATTATTGTTTGGTCGTCCCTGTCTTCCGTTTTTTTTATCATTTTCCTTTTTTCCTAATAGTAACTAATATTTTAGTGTAAATGCTAAATTTAAATGATATAACATCATATCATTATTTCATTGCCCCTGTCTTTTGTTTCTAAAGAGCTAGTAATTTGGACCTAACCTGATGGGTTAGCCTGAATCTATCTGAAAAAATTAGAACCAAGCTCAAATAAAAAAATAATTTTTTAATGTTTGAGCCTATTTAGGCTTCCCAAATAAACCCGACAAAATTTGGGCCAAGCTCGAGGCTCGAATACCCACAGAAAATAAAAAAAATGCAAATTGATTAATTCAATTTCAATTGAAAAACAAAACCCACGACAGTACAGCACATAGCACACGCCCAATGAAGTCATGAATGGAGACTCACACACGAGAGAGAAAGGAAAGATCCAAATGCAAGAGTCGAGACGCCTCAGCCCTCCAACTTGCTTGTAAAACGAAAAACCCTCAGCTTTCATGTTGTCATTGTCCTCAACTCTCACGCTGTCGACTATCGCATAGCTCACATGCTGTCGCCCACAGGACCTAGTTCAGTTCTTCCATCTTCGTCTAACTTCTTCAGTTCTTCCGAGCTGCCAATGCACAACCTTAGTCAATCTTCATCAATTCTCAATCTCTCCACTCTCTTTCTCACTTCTCATTCTCCTGACAAATGCATCACTCTTCAATCCTTGTCTGAACTTCAATCCAAAGTAGCAAAGCTTTGATCTTTGAAGCTCTATTCTCAAGTTTGTGGTCTTTGCCGTCAATCGTATTCGCCTCCAGACTCTCA